TGCGTGCCTAAAGTAATCTTACCTTTCCTGGGAGGAAAAAAAGGTATTTTGCATTTTAATCTATTTACTAGCAACCGCAATCAATCATGTCGAGTCAAAAGTAATGGGTGTGCACCTGGGAGAGGCATCACAGTCCTCACCCCAAAGGCATTAACCACAAACGGTGCGAGCGTGCGTGTGTGTGTGTGTGTGTGTGTGTGCGCGCGCGCACTCGTGCGTGTGCGTGTGTGTCGGGGTAGAAGGAAAGACACGTCAGAAAGGACTGGCAGAGGGGCAGGGGCTGAGAGAAGGACAAAGGTAGAATGAGCACAGAACGCCTCTCTTTCCAGGTCCTCAGTTAAGGCAATATTTTAACAAAGAGATTTTTTTTTTCAAGTTCAGAAAAGACACACCAACAATCCAGAACGTGTTGGGTGGCTAGCAGGTGGTGGAGGAGGGAGTTGATAATAAAATATGTACCCGTTCAGACTGGAGACTGAGTACCTGGGGATTTGGACCTTGAGACAGTATTTGGACCTCAGAGTCAGTATTCAGGCGAGGGGGTGGGGTGGGGTGGAGTAGGGTGGGGGCAGGGTATGGAGCAAGAGCGAAGACCGCCTAAACCTCCTCCCGGGCTGCGCCCCGGCTCTAAGCCACTTTCTGGGCAAAGCGCGCGTGGCCGGCCCGTCCCCTGTCCCCGCTCGTGCGCCGTGTAACTGGCTGGCACACTGAGCGCGCTCACCGATCTTGACTTGCTCGCGGTAGGTCTTTTCGTTCAGGCAAACCCCGCGGCCGTGCAGCAGGGCGTGCAGGGGTTTCTCCTCGTCCTGCCGGGGGAGGCAGCGCAGCCCCTGGGCGCAGCGCTCAGTGTAGACGCCGCACGACTGCCCCTCGGCCAGGGCGCAAGTCATGCAGCAGCCGCAGCCCGGCTCCTTGACCAGCTCGCAGCCCAGGGGGCTGGGGGGGCACATGGAGAGGGCTTTCTCATCGCAGGGCTCGCAGTGCACGAAGGAGCCCAGGCCCTGGGCCGGCCCCGCGAAAGCGGCCAACAGCAGTAGGACTGCGGTGAGCACCATCTTCAAGTCTCCCTTTACCTCGGGGCGGGGCAGGAGAGCGAGAGTGCGGGGAGAAAGGGGCTAGGAGGGCGCCGGGGAAATTGAAAAAAAAATTCTGGCAGGTAGAGCAGGCGCCCTCCCCCAGACAATTGCAAAATGTGGGGAGAGTGAGAGGGCTGGGGTGCCTGCAAGCAAGTCCCGATCACAGGGATTCAAGCCTTGCAACAGGTTGAGGGCAAAAGAGCAGCGCCAGGTGCACGCACCGGACCAACAGCCCCCAAGCCCGACCTGGTCAGAACTGCTGGGGGAAAAGCCAAAAATTGTTCGCCCCAAAGCAACCACCGGAATAAAGAGCTCGGAGGCTGTGGAGGAGAGGGGTGGGGTGGAGAAAAAGAGGTTTGTCTTCAAAAATGTTGTTTAAAATCTAAAGTACACTTCAGCTGCTAGCGGCGCGCGGCTGCCGCGGAACAGGTAGAAGGTGGCGGCTGCAGCTGCAAGGGCAGGGGAAAATATTGAAATCAAGAAAGAAAGAAAGAAAGAAAGGAAGAAAAAAAAACACCCAACCCTAACCCCTCTTTTCTCCCACTCTGCAACCACCTCTTCGAAATTCGCAGGTTCGGCGCGAATCCCGGAGAAGGGTGCAAACGGAGGAGAGGGAAATTAGAAGGAGCAAAAAAGAGGAAAAACCCCAAACCGCTTTGCAGCTTTTCCTAGCTCTTTTACCCCCGCAGAAGTTTCCAAAGAGACTACCGACTCCGGTGGAGCAGGCGCTTTTAAATACACGGCCCTGGCTGCCAGCCAGTTTGTAGCTGCAATTTGAGCTCCCCAACACCCAACCCAGGCAAGGATGCCAAAGAGCTTTGCAGTGCGAACTCACACGGAGTGGGGGTGGGGAGAGGCCTTCGAGACACACAGGGGCTCCCCTTTGCTGCACGAACAGCACCCTCCTCCCCCCCGGAATGTAAGAAAGGGGCACCGGGGACCAGGCAGGGGCTGTGTGAGGGAGGAGGAGGTGTGTGTGTGTGTGTGTGGGGGGGGGGGAAACAGATGGACACAATGAGGAGTAACTCAGTCTCCCCTCCCTTCCCGCCCCTTAACTAGCCCAGACCCAGGCCAGAGGAGAAGTATTTTTTTTTTTATTAGCCAACTGGATATATATGGTGCCCAAGAAATTCTTCCCAAGCTTTGGTAAATGGCTGTCTGCTAGGGTCTAAGTTTGCTGGTGTCTAAGTTACCATGTAAGGTGTGTGTGTGTGTGTGTGTGTGTGTGTGTGTGTGTGTGTTGGGGTTATTAATATAGGATGGCCAGTGATGGGTGGTGACCTGAATGAAAAAGAAAGAAAAAGAAGAAAAACTGGATTTCTCCCCTAAAAGCCTGGGGAAGGGGAATTTAAGCAAGAGTTTCTGTTGTTGGTGGAGTGACTGTCTTCGGCCATATGGTCAAGCAAGACGCGGCCACTTTCCTTCTGCTACATTGTTGGCCCAGGGAAGGTGTGTGTGTGTGTGTGTGTGTGTGTGTGTGTGTGTGTGTGTTGTGTGCACCTGCAGGGGCAGTCAGACCACAGCAGTGAGTTACAGAGATTGGCACTTGGAGGAAACGCTCAGTCTGAAAATCTTGCCTGGCGATCTAAAGTGTCCTGGGTGGGATTTTTAGATGGAAGGCAGATTGGAATAATGCTTTCCCTCCACCTCTTTTTAAAGGGGCACTTCTAATGAGCAGGGCCACATCTTTGGAGGGGATGGGTGACAGTCCAGAAAGACACCCTGTTCTCAGGTTAATTAGCACGCACATGAACGTCCCAACAACATGAGCTGACAGGCCACAGGACTTACTCTGAAGAGATTCTGACCAGGAACATTATTATCCCATTTGAAACACCAGCTAGTCTATTCAGACACCGTGGGCTCCTTCTCTCCTTCGCAAAATGAAAGAAAGCTAAAGTCTTCAAAGAAGGAACATGGCAACTTTATTTATTTTTTTCTGAAATTGACATGGACAGGTTATGGCCCTCACTGCCAGGTCAAAGGAAATGACCCGTCTTTGCAGCCCCATTTGGGAGAAACTGGGGTGGGAGTGTTGCTTCTTACATTTCCCTTGTTCCTTTGGAAGGGGCTGCATTTCATGAAGTTTGCCACTAGACTGCACTCTTATCTATGATAAGAATTCTTTCTGCAGGACTGCTTTTAAGAAAATATTTTTCTTGCTGGTTTGGGTCAGGAGCAATTCTCTCTAGGCTGTTAACACTCCCAGATTCTGATCTCTCTTCTCACTATCTACTTGCCTAAAGGCACAGCTTAAAAAATGAGGCTAAAGTTTAAAGTCCTGCTTTTGCTTGTATTGCCAGAGGGGTTTTAGATGTTGGCTGGGAGAAGGAGGAGGGTCTATGTGTAATGATTAAAAAAAAAAGGAGAAAAAAAAAGAAAAGAAAAGAAAAAGAAAACCAGTGAGGCTCTTCATCATTTCTTCTCCCCTCTGTCTGGGCACTTGGTAAGTTAGGAGGGAAGAATTTGGTTGAAATATTTGAGGAGTGAGGGTGGTCATGTGTTATTTTCTTTTTTGTGTCAAGTTCAGACTAGAACAGCGGCCGAACAGTGTGCTGTGTGTTCCACCCCCTGCTCCTATTTCTGCACCCACTCGGCAGCGAAGCCGACCCCAGGCACACTGGTAGCATTTAAGATGAATGGGGAAATTGTGGTGCTCCTTCCAGAGAAACATGAGTTGCCTGGTTCCAACCACCCCCTGTTCTGAGAGAGACGGCCTCCAGTGACATGTCTTTTTGTCTAGCCAACTTCCAGTGGCTGGAAAATAAAATGTGTGAGGACAGGTAAAAGGAAGAGGGGATGATTCATAGAGAAGACGACAAGGATAGGGAGACAGAAGGGTTGTGGCAGGACCTTGGGGTAGGGCGGCAGAGGGGGCCATGGAGAGAGGGGACCCTGCAGAAATGTAAATGGTAAGTGCCCACGCCGTGTCCGGACTTTGATGTGGGCTTAGTCATGAGGGGTGAGAGCTGATGGGACATGAGCTGCTGTCCAGGGGCCCCTCAGGTAGGCTCCCTGGGAGGGCATGAGAAAGAAATTGCAGTAGCCTGGGATTGTCTAAAGTAATTTTGTCCAAAGGTGGGATACTGGTCAGATGGGTTTGCTTTTACAAGTCCATAATTAATGGATGACAGTGGAATGGGAGGTTCTGTTACAGGAAGTTGGGTTTGGGGAATGCCCACGAGCCTTTCTTGATTTCATTCCCCTTGCCCTCCATTCTGAAGACCTAGATCTGCTCACAATCACCTTCAGAAGATTGCTTCTGGAAAAAATAGTTTGCATCGATGCACTTCATTGGGAGGGGCTCCTTTATTCCTGCCAGATGCACATGTCAGGGGCATGGTTCACTCCTCCCCCCTGCACGGCCAGTTGCTTCTCAACTCTCTGCTTCCGGACTCTGGCATATTTGAGTTTTGATGCCTTTCAACCACATCTTTCTTGGAGAAGAAAGAAGTTAAATATCATCCACTTGTGGCCATCCCTCAGAGATCACCCCTCCCCATTCCTTTAAAAAATTAACTGGGTATCAAAACCAAACTCCAACACATGCAACCAAGTAAAAGATTTGTGCTTTTACATGTACTACTTTTCAAAGGGTGCGTAGCACTTCTGTTCTATAAAGTGTGAGTCCTTTCCTCTGGTCATTTTTGAGGCAAGGGTGATGCCTGATAGCTTGGATTGGGAATGCTGGACTTCTAATAGTACATAACATATCTTGGGCTTCTCTGGTTGGAAAGGAAAAATGTCTGCTAAGGGCCTTGTCTTCATTCTCTCTTGTCTTCATTGCTCTCACCACTCTCTCAGGCAGATTTGCCCACCATTTTCCACAGTGAGTAATTGTTCTGTTTTAAAGATCTTATGTGATGGAATCAGTTTCTTTCCCAGTCCAACGCACAGTAGGCATACTAATGCTGCCGCCTCATCCTGGCCCAGAACCAAGGTGTGGTGACCTTCAAGAAATAAAGTACCTAGCCTCTCCGGTCCCTCCCCAGACAAGGGAAATTCAGCAAGATCGGGAGAAGAGCTGTTTGAGGCAGCTTTGTTGTAATGACCTGGATGAAGGCTAGGTGGCAGAATGGATACATCATTGAATGCACGCCTCCTCTCCAGAAGGCTAGAGGCTGAGACTGGTGGAAGTCTTTAACAACCCGGTGGGATGTGGGAAGCAAAAGCTGGGATGGAGGGCCGCACCCACCCTGTGGGCCCACAGTGTGCTGCCCAGCCTCGGCACCGCCCTTTGCCTCCAAGGCTCACCAGAGGCGTTATTCATGGTCACTTTACCTCATAGTCCAGGTCCACCAGGTTCTGGTAGATCCAGATCCAGGAGGACAGAACATGATCACTTTGGGTTCATAGAATGCCCTAAAGCTTCTCTCATGAATAATTAGGATATAGTCTTTGTCAAAGTGCATAAAAATGTCCTTCTTACATTTTAAAATGTAAATTATGGAATATTTCAAACATTCAAAGAGCAGGAGATGACATAACAGATATCCTCTATTCACCACACACATTCAACACATGTTAACATTTCACCATTCTCATTTGAGATTTTGTTTAAAAGAAATACAGTGGTATAGAGAACAGCCTACTTCCTGCTCTCGTCCCTGCTTTGCACCCCCCCCCCTCCAACCCCAGAGGTAGCCACATTCCTGAAATAGATTTGTATCTTTTTTGCACAATGCTTTTTTCCAGGTTTTCCATGAAGTTTCTTATAGAACAGAGTGAGAACCATTTTTGAGGGCGAAACTACGTGCTACTTTAGAGTTAATTTTGTAGAGGTATTTGCTATGGGTGGCAATTTAATTAGAGTCTGCATTGACCCTCTGGCTGACTTTTGAAGGAGCTGAAGCCAAGTATGACTCAGAGTGATTTATATTTCTGTGAGCAATATATAAGTTAATCGTTTTAAGAATTGATGTTTAGGAGGCTTCTGGAGCCATTCCAGAGAGATATGGCAGAAAAGGGAGGCTCCCTACATAGTTTCTGGTTGGAGGCCTCCTATCTTCTTGGACCATGGGATTCTGGGGTTTCTATAGTGGACAATCCCAGAACTGTGTTTGAATTTTGGAAAAATAAGATGAACCAGGAAAAGTGATCTGTTGTGAATTAGAAGAAGTGTTGGTAGAACCAGATCTAGGGGGATAGAAATGGGCTAGGTAGGAAAGATGGAATCACATGGGATAGGAAAAAAGAGAAAGTGTTAGCTGCTTGAAGCAAGTTTGATAGAATGCATCTGAGCCATGAAAAAGCCAAGCACAATTACAGTGCTTGGAATCTAGGTTTCATTACAGTTCAAGAGGGAGAAGAGATAAGAGTTAGCTTACCACCACTAGCCCATGGGGCAAATTTGTCTAAATTAGGAAATGGGGCCTTCCCTCAAGATACTTTACTTCTATTTGTTAGAATATTGTTATAAAATACAGATTTTGTTAGAACAAGGAACTCTACTAACCCTTCCAGGAAATTGTCATCATGAGCATACGTATCTATGGTGTCTGCTACATGAACATGGCCACTCGGAGGAGGCTGTTATTGTACAGTGCACAACCTGCACTGCTGTGGGCCCTGTTTGAGAGAGTTGAGCCTCATTTCCAAGCCATCAGGAAACACTGCTTTTCTATGAGTGGAAAGGATGGGTCCAGTGACATGGTTTTATCCATTACCAGGGTTCAGAGATGGGCTTAAACCCCTTCAAAACAGCTGATTCTGCCA